GTAAGGGCCTGACATACATTAAGTGATATAATGACTGTGAATTAATTGCTTGTGCATAAATTGTAACCTGTCTCACTTTGTGATTCACTTCAATTTGACTGGTTTTACTTAAGTGCTTCCTATGTGCCAGGAACTGTGGTAGATAATGGATACACATCGAACATGCATCAGACAAATATTTGCAGGCCCCTCCCATATATCAGCAGAATGTGCACATGAACTCTGGCAATGCACAATATAAGAAGCAGATGTGAGGTGCGGAATTAAAAGATTTGGGCTGAGGCCTGGGTGTGGTGCCAAATTGCAGCTACGTCTTGTAACCCTTCAACACATAGCTCAACCTCTCTGTGCCTCAATTTCCCCGATCCATAAAAAAGGGTAATAACTACATCTAGTGCATGAGGCTATTCTGTGAAGATTCTCTGAACAAATCTATACAAACCATTTTATCACAAGGCCTGGAGCAAAATCAACACTCAATAAATGTTAACAGTCCCATCCATGTTCTAGTAAATTAAGTCATGCAGGTCCACAGGCCCCCTCCCAACTCATCAGCCTTTTTACCCTCCCCTAAAAGCAGTCCTGTTCTCACCTGCACCACCACCCAAGGGCTGCTTCTGAGGAGCTGCAGTAACCAGAGGACTATGCAAATATGCAAACCCAGCAAAGCAGTGTTTACCCAGGGCTGTGCACCATTGTCTGCTGAGCCGCTCGGCCTCGCTGTCTTAGGGAAGGATTCCTTCGGTGTCATCACAACCTCTAGTGGACAACAGCGAACACCGCGGTTCCCAGGCCTTTGTTGCAGCTTTCACCTACAGAGCCCACAAAGTCCAGGGACTGCAGGGATGATGGTCTCTGTCACACGCAAGTGTGTGCACCCGCCTACCTTCCCCTCCCACATGCTCCTCTCACCCTCTCTCCAGTTTCATGGGTATTGGATGTGTTCTGAAAGTGAAGCCTTCAGGATGTCCACTACGCCACTGCAGAAATCCCCCCTTGGCTGCTGGTACCTGTCACTTCACTGACCACCTCTGGTGAGAAGCAAGCACAGCCCACTGGAGGTGGTGCGGCCACAGCACTTTGCCATCCCCCTCCTGAAGCACAGACCATTGGGCATGGACGCTGGTGGCTCACCTGCAGATCTCTCCCGCTATGGTGCCATTACTCAGACAGGGACCTCATTGCATTACTCTGTGTCTCCAGCATCCAACATGGGGACTATTGAGTGCATAGAAAGTGCTCGGTAAATGTTGAATGAATGAATGAATGAATGAATGAATGAATGAATGAATGTCTTTTCCAGAAGACTCTCCTTATGTCTTCTTGCCAACTATTAACCTGCCATCTTACACATCGGGTACCATGAACTCTGCTTCCTGATGTTAATATCGAGATGCAAAGAGAAATAGTGTGAGAGTTTGGAAATGAAAGGAGTCTTCATCAGGCCATGAAAAATTCTCACCTGCCACAGGCAGCACATAGATAACTGGGACTCACTGCCCCACCTCCACCTCTTCTATTTTGGCCTAAATTATCCAGACATTTATGCCAGCATCTGCCCCACACCAGCTTTAGGTATCTGCTTTCTTGGTGCCTACTAACAGGGCAATTTGCCCTTTGGAAAGCAGGGGGAAAAAAGGAATAAACATTACTTGAGCATCTACTATGTGCCAGGTGCTTTACAAATAAGTGTTATATCATCATTGCAATGATCCTTCCAGTCTGGGACCATCAATCTTCCTACTCCCAACCCTCATTCCGCAGATGGTGAAAGAGGCTCAGAAGATATTCCTGCTGAAGGTCACACATTCTTAAGCAATGGAGTTCGACCTGGACCCAGGTCACTTTGATTCGAAAGCCACAATACTTATTTTCCAGAACCCTATAAATCTCATGCCATAGCCTAACTCAGTCAAACTCCCCCAGACAACCTTGCCATGGCCTCTCCAGTGTTTTGCAATTTGGATCCATGAAGGAAACCCCAACATAAGGGTAGTTGGGCTGTGTAATTGTAGTGAAGCCCTTTTTGTAGCATTCTTCTGCCCTCTTCCCTTCCTCTTTTCTGCTGCATATGGGAAGTGTCATCAGTAATTTCTCTCTGACATATAGTGACAATTACAGTGAGCAGAAAGAGGTTGGTAGAGGATATGGTGAGGCCCTTTCCAAGCTGATAACTGGTGATTCCAAAGATCAGAATTCTCTGCCCTCAATCACCAACTATAGCTTTGAGCGCCCCTGGTGGACGTCTGCTCCACTCGCATGTTGCAGAAACGGGGGACCAAATTCGAGGACCAGTAAACTGAGAGCCCTTTTGAATAGCAAGAATGAACTTGGGAGGAAACCCAGTAAACAAGTCACTCTGATCAGGAAACATTCTTTTACCTTGGAAGAGGGAGGAGTGAAATATAACGTTATTTTTCTAATGTCTAACTGAGCCATGTGAACACAAGAGGAACCTCTCAAGCTTAAAGTGGCCCCTGTCAAAATTCTGTGGAAGAGAATGCTAATCCATAATGAAAACAGACTTTAAGTGAATCTAACAACAATGAATATTGGAGGAAGCAGCAAATTTGGATCTTACTGAGCAATACTGAATTTACTTTATTTGTTCAAGAGAAAAAGAAAAGAAATTACACTTAGGCTCTGCAGTCTTTGCACGTAGTTACAATTATTCCCCATGTGCGTATCTTAGACAATAAGAAGTCTCTTCATAAACAAGTTATACTTTATACTTATTCATGCCGTACAGCAAAATGGCCCAGAGAAACACGTGACACGCATGAAAATGCAGCAACAAGTCCCTTTCAAGTATTTACAAATCCCCTCCCTGCACTGCAAACAGAAGGACTAGCTTGCAACCCTGAATTAGATTAACGGTCATCCATCTGACATTAGCGGAGTTGGGCTGCACGTTAAAAACAGAATTTATTGTAGAAGGTCAATTGTTTCCAAATGCACAGTCAGAATCAGCAATGCTCGTTGGCTGCCCGCACTCCTCCCTATGACTCAGAGTCTCGGAGTCAGAACCACACCACTTATTAATGAGCCTTCTGGAGTAGTACATGGGTTGACTTTAATTTGGTGGTGACCTAAAAGTTAATTAAAAATACATGCTGGCTATAAATGCAGTTGGGAAAAATAACATGAAACGTCTTAGAAATTAAAATACCCATACACACCCATTTTGTGTTTGGAGCCAGTGAAGAAAGCAGGATATGGAATTCTTGGCTTGGGTAACAATTCAATATGTGCCAATAAGACATCTTTCCTGGAGGGTGGTGTATTGCAGATTGTGGTCTGCAGAGATAGAATCACTTTAGAAAAGCCAGCAGACCACTGGATAGCTCTGGGTTCTTTTTGTGTTAGTCACAACACATTTTCAAAAGGTGGGTGAGGGAGTGATATCTACACTGAGTTCAAGGCCACCAAGCCACTGCTGGAAAGAGATGGCTAATTAAGAAAGGGCATGCTATGGTGGAAACGATTTATTTGAACCATTTCTCTTCCCCCATCTCTCAGACAGAAATTGCCCAGACCTGGTGTAAATTGTGAATATTATTGCTTCATAAAAGAGGGGTTCTTTAATGATATGCTTTATTAAACAAAAGGTGATAAATTATTTCCTTCGTTCTGCTCTCCGGTCACCCTATTTAAAGAGCAGGGGGTAGGGGATAAAATGCCCGATTTATGCTGAGGAGGGCACTCCAAGCCGTGGGGAAGAATCGAAAGAAAAGGGGCCCAGAACTCGGGCCCATGGATCGGAGAGCTGTCCGCGGCCTTCGGTGCTGAAAGCAGATGGGTGCGTTAGGGGGTCCAGGACTCCCCAAAGAGAAGGGTCACCGCCTGCCTCCCAACTCTGGGTGCAAACAAAAGACGGAGCTCCTGATGGGCAGAGTGTGTGCCCTCCGACTGTCTGTGGCCTGGGCAGACCCTGAATTGCCTGCTTTATCCCAAACAGAGTGCGTTTCCGGGAACCGCAGTTGGAGCTTTCAGAAGGCGAGTTCGGGTGGTGTACCGACGCTCCCCTCCACTCTCCTGTCTCCTAGCGGCCTGGTCAAACCCTTGAAGCTCCTGGGGTTAGTTCTGCGTGAGTTGAGTGCTGTACTCCTCTCTCCATCCCACTCCCCCTACAACTTTTCCTGGGGGACCTCAGCGGAGTGAAGAAGAGAGTGGGGTTCCAAGTATGGGAAGGAGGAGCCTCCATCCTCCGCTAAACGTGGACCCCCCCCCACTTTCCCATCCAGAAAGCACGTGGTGGGTGAAACTAGCACCACCTCCCCACCCCAATTCACGATACTGTTAAGAGAGGCTAGGCTGTCAGAGGGAGAAAGAAGGGAATCCACTCAGGTTCCCAACCGTGACCTAACATCTCTCCTTCCCCCGCCAAGTTCTATGGACCCTGAGCCCCCTCCACGGGCCTCCAGGTAAAAGCCACATCCAAGTTCAGCTCCCAGACACTTGGCTGGGATTGGTCCAGGCACCGGGTCCCTCGGGAGAGCGTGAACTAAATGGAGGCAAGGGGTCCTAGAGCGGGAGGGGGCGTCTCTGCGATGCCCCCAGACGCAGTTTGAGTCTGGTCCTCAGTTGCCGGGCGGGTCAGCTGCCCCCCTTCTAGTGCATCCTCTCCCCGTACGGATGGGAACCATCTGGCACGCAGCCCCGAGTGCGGGTGCGGAGAGCTCCGGGAATCTGGGGTTTGGAGGCGACCCCATGCCAAGGAGATTCCCTGGGGCTGCGGAGGGGGGTCAGTCCCGCAGCCGGGAAGACAGAAAGGGGGCCGAAGCAGGCAAGCGCCCGGCTCCTTCGGACGCACCCCCGCCTCCACAGTCCCGCAGCCCGGGCCAGGAGGACGCGGTTCCCAGCCCCGATCTGGGGCAGCCGCCCCCGCTCCCCGTCCGGGCGGGCGGCGAGTGAGTCGCCCGGGAAAGACACGACCCCCAGCCGCCCAGCACGCGCGGCAACTTTGCCCCCTCCCCGGCCCCGCCCCTCCGGACGCTTACCTCCCGCCAGAGCTGCCGCGGGGCTCCCCAGGAGCAGGGCGAGGAGCAGCGAGAGCCCGCCGACTCCCGCGGCGGGCGGCCGGGCCGCCGGCATCGTGGCTGCGGGGGGCGCGGAGGCGCAGACCGCGCGGGCGCCGGGGCCCGAGGCAGGCGGCGGACCGGGAAGAGGAGGCGGGAGCGAGGGAGGGGGCCGCGGGCCGGGCAGCCTCCGGAGCCCCCGGGGCGGACGCTCGCTCAGCCCCGCGACCGCTGTGGCCGAGCTGCGCCGGGCGCGGGCGGGCGAGTGAGGAGGAGCCGGCGAGCGAGCGAGCGAGCGCGGAGCGGGCGGGAGGAGGGAGGGGGCTGGGGCCGAGCCGCAGCCGAGCGGGTGCAGCGGGGGCGGGAGGGGGCGGGCGGGCGGCGGGCGCGAGGGGCCGTGGCGCCCGGGTGCCAGTCTCCTCCTCCGGCCGCCGGCTGCCGGCCCGGCAAAGTTTAACGCCGATTCCCCGCGCGTCCTGTGGGCCCAGTGTTTCCTCCTGGCGGATGCTCGCCCCGGCCGTGCGCCGGCCAGGCGCGGCCGGAGGGCGTCCTGACCATTTCCCAGACGGAGAGATGGAGGCCTCCAAACCGAGCGCAGCCTTCAGCCAGTGGGCAGCCGAGAGCTTTCCGTTGCACAACCTTACAGATGCATCGCAGTTCCAGTTCCTTTGGCTGGACTTCAGCTCTCCTAGGCCCCTTTGGGCCCCAAGCAGCCCTCTTCCCTGCCAGCCCCCCCACCCCGCCGTGTCTCCAAAGTGCGTCCCCATAACCTAGACAGTCTCAAACTCTGTGGATCTGATGAGAGCTGTCAATATACAGGGAACAATGCAAATGGTCACAAAATTATGCACCCAAAAACCTGCCGGCTCCATATACCTATGAAACCCATAAATTAAAATGTATCCATGGTCTAATCAGCTCAGTATTTCACTCAATAGGGCACCCCAGCTAGCCAAAGCTTCCTCTCAACGCAGCCCCTTAGCCCTGCTATGTATCTTTCCTTCCCCCATCTGTGCTGGCGTTCAAGGCCCACACTCACCTGCCCTGCTTTGCCCAGCCCTGATTCTCAACAACTTGTCTTTCCCTACAAATGGAGGTGGTGGGGAAATGCTTGGGGGCAGGCATTGGCCAAGAGCTGATGGGGCACAGATTTGTACACACCCCAGAGAGTGTGTCGACCGCCTTTGCACACCCAGCCATATTCTCAGGCCTCTCAGCTTAGTTTAGAAGTCCTGCCCCCACCCCCCGCCCCCCGCCACTGAACCTTGCCGCACTGTCTACACATTGCTGCCTGAGCAGGCAGATGGAGCAGAGGGAGAGAAGGAGTAAGTCTGAGCAGAGTGGTGGAGCTGGGAGTCCTGACATGGGGCCGGGGGAGGTGAGCATTGCCTGGCAGGGGACAGGAGGGGGAGAGGGAGCCCTCTGGCCCAGGGGGTCAAAAGATCCCCACACACCCAAAGCTGCCCCATTCATTCGTTCATCCAGTGCTCTTTTACAGGGTACTCAAGACAGGTCTAGGTCTGCTTTGCTCTGTAAGGAGGGGTCCTGCCTATCTCACCATTGAAAGAAGAGAGGGGATGCGAACTCAGCAGTCCAAGTGGGTTTATTGCTGACCCTGAGAGGGCCCCCTCTGTCCTGGCCAGGAGAACAAAGGGAAGAGGGTCTCTAACAGGTCAAGAGGCTTATTATGGCCAGGGTTTTTAGTGGGCTCTTTGAGGGGAGGGGTCAGGGGAAAGGTGGGCCTGTGGCTTGCTGACGTGTCCCCTGGAGGATGCTTGTAGCCTAGGGAAGATGACACCTAGGTCTCTCGGAGATGGCGGGTGGGCTTATTTGAAAGGTGATACTCAGGTCCAGATCCTCTCAACCATCACCAAACACTCGGGGCCTGCCCAGTGCCAGCCTGCAGTGGGCACACAGTGACACTTGTTGAATGGAAACACAGGGAAGCAAGGAAGATGGAAAGGGGAAAGTGAGCTTGAGAAAAGGAAATAGGCCAGCTCCACGTTTGGAGGCAAGGAAACTAATGTTTATAAGCGTCCCTTGTTTGCCAGATGCTATCTCACATAGTACATGGCTGCTCATCTCAAGTCATACCGATCCCGACAGTGAGGTGTGGTTGTCTGTATTTGACAGATAAATACCTGGGTCCTAGAAGGGTCACAACCTGGCTGAGCTCATTCAGCCAGGAACCCGTGGGCTGAGGCAGATTCAGTGCTACATCCCAACCCATTCCACCCCAACAGCCTGTTCTTCAGGAGAGTGGTGGCTGTCCCTGTGCTGTGATTCGGAGGATGTCCTCTGGCACTTCTACACCTCTTTGTTACCAGTACTCCACAATGAGTGAAAGTTCACCAAAGTCACTTCTTTTGGGCCTCTAGAAGGTCATTGCTTGCATATAAGTATCTTATAGGGACGAAGGGGCACCATTAATGATTAACCCATTGATTACATGGACAGGGGTTTACTCATTCCATTTGCCAGCTGAAACATGGCACAGAGAAAAGTCCTAAGAGACTGGTACACACCTGGCAACCTGAAATTGTAGTGTGGGAATATAAGGAAACTCTCTAAGAACAACATTAAGACTTTTGGTTGGTGGTGGGGGGTGGGGGGCATGGTGCAATGAGATATACCATGATAAGAATAGAATTCTGCAAGGGACCAGAGCAGCTTGAGATGAAAATCTTCCCCATCCCGATTTGGACGCTCATATTACAGATGAGGAAACTGAGGTTCAGGGAGGCAAAGTGCCTTGCTCAGCATCATCCTTGTGGTCTAGCTGCTGCCTGGGCGTGTGCCCTATTACCACGGGTCCCTCTGGCCTAGATTCTGGTGTCAGTATGGATTTCTGCTGCCCACAGCTGCCCAGGTAAGAGATTCCCAGCTTCTCTGCAGGGAAGATATTATGCATTCACCACTCTGTCTACCTTACATGTTGCCACTTGGTAAATCAGCTCGTATGCAGTAAAAATTGGTCCAGGAAGAGGCCATTTCTTCTCTCTGTGCACGTCATAATTCACCAGGGCTTGATTTTGCCTTCACCAGGAAGTCTATACTCCGTCATTCTCTCCACCAACAACAATTGTGGAAGTTTCCATTCTTATTCACACTGCTGCCCCACCCAAGCCCAGAATCTCATTTCTTCCCCCAGGGAACATCTGGTGTTGGAAAGCTCTTGATCACTAGGGGAAAATAACAGAGAGCAAGAAATCTTTTTTGTCTTGGAGTAAAACTGCAATACAAAAGGAGATACTTTCAAAGAGAGGAAGAGAGAAAAAGAAAAGGTCCCAGCACGAGTAGAGCCAAGAGGCCAGGAGACAAATCCATGCATCCACCCTGGAGGGCAGGCAGAGTGTCCCACCGACACTGTGTTTTCAACCAGGTCCTCAAAACTTGTAGGAAGCTTCACAACTTTCTTCAGAACGTGCAGGAAGCCTACATCACATCACTCAGGCCAGAGGTTAACAAGGGAATGATGGACTGCGACACAGCCATGCCCATCCAGTGAGTCCACACTACCTAGGAAGCAGCAATTGCGTCTCTTTGGTTTCTTTGGCAGTGCTTGATCTGTCTATACCACCTGCTCTGGCTCTTGAGAAGGGCCCGTGCCTAGCAGAGATTCCACAGGGAGGCAATGCCTTTATTTTCAAACTGAAAGTTTACAGAAAACAAACTGAACCTGCAGGATGGATGTGCCTTTTCCAGACCCTTGTCTGGCCAGATGGGAAGGAAAAGCAGTACCCTGTCTAGAGGTGAGGGAGACTGAAGGAGCAAGACAAGCATATAGGGTCTGATAAGACCCCACAGGCAGGTTCCCACAAACCCAACTGGGAGGTTTTCTGTGTTTATGTTTTTGGGCCTCAAAGGTGAGAAAAAAATCAATTAAAGATACTGTGCATATTTATACACTCTGTTGGCATTATAAATGGATGGGTACGCTTTTCAAACCATAAAGAACAGCCTATGTCTTCATAGCAGCAGGCACCTATGGGCCATTCTCAGACTTTCATGTCTGGTGATCGCATCAGCACCTGTGTCCTTTGGATGCAGCAGGTTCATTCAGCATCAGACATGCCTGGGTTGGAGTCAGAGCATCCTCCTGGAAATGATACCTTTAAACCTCAATTTCCTTGTCTGTACAAAGTGAGGGATATTAGTAAACTACTTTCTAGAGGTTTTGTAATGGTAAGAGGGGGGGATGCATGCTCATTGCTGAACTACGTGCCCATCTTGTAGTAGGTACTCAATACACAGGAGCATTATACTGTTATGCAGACCATAAGTGAAAAGACACTGTCCAAATGCCATAAAAGCATACTCATTTCTGGTAGGGCTTATTAAGTGTATTTGTGTATGTCTAGACCCAAAAGAAAGCCCAGCTGGGGTTCAGAGTACAGAACAAGTAAAACTCCAAAGCTCATCAGGGACTTGGCCAATTTAACCTATTTTTCATGGGACTTGCCTCACTAGAAATTAATGAAGGCAGTGTTGCTCTGTTCGATCACAGAAACAGTCTCTAGCTGGTCATCCTCATCTCCGGCCTCGCCACTGTCTTCCGTATGGAATACTGAAAAGGTCAAGCTGCATCAGGTCCCTGCTGACCGATGTCCTAACCTTTTTCCCAGCTCCCTGGCCAAAGCCCAGCCTTTACAGAGGAGGGTGGGGAGAAGAGGTCTAGTGCCTGAGGACCCTCTGAGGCTCAGATGGTCTGTGTTTTTTCCATCACCCCACACTGTCCTGCAGAAGGAAGCTCTGCCCAGCATCACCAGGAACAGAAGCCAAGGAATTTCCCCTTTAGAGATCATGGATGTGTCTGAACTCAGGAGCCCAAGCAACAGTGGGTGGAAGACAGAGAGCTTGGAAGCTTCCCCACTAACTCCTGTGTGATGTCTGCAAGTCCCTTGCCCTCTCTGATCCTTAATTCACCCATGTGAGAAAGGAAAATAATTAGGAAAAAATGATCTCTTAAAGCCTTTCCATTTCTGAAATTTGGCAATTCTGTGGTGTCAGCTTCCATACCAAGAGATGGTGGGTCCTACTATAACTATCCCAGGGAGAATAAAAGCTGACATTTTAAAGCAAGGCTTAGAGCTTATAAACTGATTTCTCATTGATCCTCACAACTGCTCTAGGAGGTTGTTTTATCATAAGCCAAACTCCTACCCTTGACTGTAGGATCCTCTGGACTGGCGTCCCCCTTCCTCTCTGACCTTACCTTGTGATTCCCTTTATAGAACAGACAAATGTTCCAAATCCAGATGTGCCTCTCAGGCCTCCGCCCCTGCTGTACCCCTTTCCTGGA